ATAAATCACAACACGTACCCAAGATATCCAGACAATTCTAACAGACTACTTTCAAAAGTTATACTCTGTAAAGGAAGAAAACCTGGCAGAAATGGATGCATTTTTAGAGAAATACAAGTTGCCCAAACTGAGCAAAGAAGAAGTAAACCAATTAAATAAGCCAATATCCTACAACGAGATACAGGAAGCTATCAAAAGTCTTCCAACAAAAAAAAGCCCAGGACCAGATGGATTCACAGCAGAATTATATAAGACTTTTAAACAAGAACTAATACCCATACTCCTCAAGCTCTTCAGAGAAACAGAGAAGGAGGGAGCTATCCCAAACTCATTCTACGAAGCCAATATCACACTCATTCCCAAACCAGGCAAAGACCCAACCAAAAAGGAGAATTACAGGCCAATTTCTCTGATGAACACAGATGCAAAGATCCTTAACAAGATTCTAGCTAACAGAATCCAGAAACAGATAAAAGAAAAATCATACACTATGACCAGGTAGGCTTCAACCCAGAGATGCAGGGATGGTTTAACATACGTAAGTCAATAAATGTAATCCAGCATATCAACAGAGCCAAGGTCAAGAATCACATGATTATCGCCACAGATGCAGAAAAGGCCTTTGATAAAATTCAACATTCATTCATGCTAAAAGCTCTGGAGAAAATAGGAATAGAAGGAACATTTCTAAAAACAATAAAAGCCATTTATGACAGACCAATAGCCAATATTATACTTAATGGAGAAAAGCTACAACCAATTCTCCTAAAATCAGGAACAAGGCAAGGATGCCCACTGTCTCCACTCCTCTTCAATATAGTCCTGGAACCCTTAGCCATGGCAATAAGGCAAGAAAAAGACATTAAAGGGATCTGCATAGGGAAAGAAGAAGTTAAACTATCCCTTTTTGTAGACGACATGATACTAAACCTTCATGATCCCAAAAACTCCATCCCCAAACTCTTAGAAATCATAAATCACTTCAGCAAAGTAGTGGGATACAAAATCAACCCAGAAAAATCAGTTGCCTTCCTGTACACTGACAATGTACAAGAAGAGAGGGAAATAAAGGGAGCTACCCCATTCACAAAAACCTCTCAAAAAATAAAATATTTAGGAATTAACCTAACCAAAGATGTAAAAGAACTATTTAATGAAAACAATAAATAGTTAAAGAAAGAAATTGCAGAAGACACTAGGAAATGGAAATACCTCCCATGCTCTTGGATAGGCCGACTTAATATAGTAAAGATTTAGGTAATACTTCCAAAATTAATATACAAATTCAATGCAATTCCTATTAAAATCCCAATGACATACATCACTGAAATACAGAAAACAGTCCAAAAATTCATATGGAACAACAAAAGACCTAGAATAGCCAAAACAATTCTAGGGGATAAAGACAATATGGGAGGGATATCCATGCCGAACTTCAAACTCTACGACAGAGCTATAATAACAAATACAGCATGGTACTGGCACAAAAACAGACCCGAAGACCAATGGAACAGAATAGAAGATCCAGAAATAAATCCACAGGCCTACAGCCAGCTGATATTCGACAAAGGAGCCAAAGACATACAATGGAAGAAACACAGCCTCTTCAACCACTGGTTTTGAGAAAACTGGGCGGCCACATGCAGAAAACTAAAAGTGGACCCCAGCCTATCACCATGCACCAACATCAACTCAAAATGGATTAAAGACCTTAACATTAAACCTGAATCTCTGAAACTACTGCAGGACAGAGTAGGAGAGACACTTGAACTAATAGGCACAGGAAGACACTTCCTGAACAGAGTCCCAGGGTCACAACAAATTGGAGAGAGACTCGACAAATGGGACTACCTTAAAATAAAAAGCTTCTGCACAGCTAAATCTATCACAACTAAGCTAGAAAGACAACCAACTAACTGGGAAAAAATATTTACCAGCAATATATCAGACAAGGGGTTAACATCCAGTATATACAGAGAACTCAAGAAACTAATCCCTCCCAAACCTAACAAACCAATAACTACATAGGCAAGGGAACTAAAGAGAGACTTCTCAGATGAAGAGATAAAAATGGCAAAGAAACACAAGAGGAAATGTTCACCATTCCTGGTTGTAAAGGAAATGCAAATAAAGACAACCCTGAGATACCACCTTACCCCAGCCAGAATGGTCCACATCCACAAGTCAGCCAACGACAAATGCTGGAGGGGATGTGGAGAAAGAGGAACCCTATTACACTGCTGGTGGGAATGTACACTTATACAACCACTTTGGAAAGCAGTCTAGAGGGTCCTCAGAAAGCTAAAGATTGACCTCCCTTATGACCCAGTCATACCACTTCTAGGCATCTACCCTGAACAACAGGAACCAATATACAAGGACACGTGCACCTCCATGTTTATTGCAGCACTGTTCACAATAGCTAGGATATGGAAACAACCCAGATGTCCCACCACAGATGAATGGATCCAAAAATTGTGGTATCTATACACAATGGAATATTATGCAGCCATTAGAAATGAAAAAATAATGGCATTTGCAGGGAAATGGATGGAGCTAGAAGGAATCGTGTTGAGCGAGGTAAGCCAAGAGCAAAGAGACAAATGGTACATGGGCTCCCTGGTAAGTGGATGCTAAATCCAAAATGTTAGGTGATATGACAAAACTAACAGGACTTAAGAAACAAAACTCCCAGTCATCTGGTTGAACCACTACTAAATATCCCCACGCTGCTGATCACATGTATGGTGTATAACATGTGAACACCGTTATATGTTATAGACTGTGATAGACAGTTTGCTCCAGGAAAGTTAGAATGAACTTGTGACTTTAAATGAGCAGCATTATTCCACAATACTGTGAAATTCGGGAAATTATGTAATCACTTAATCACAATTAAAAAAAAAAAAAAAGAACCTCCGGGAAGGTAGGAAGGGAAGGGATGGTTGGGGGAAAACAATGGAGGGGGTAACAATGATCAGTAGGAAGTGTACTCATTACCTTACTCATGTAACTGTAACCCTCTGTATAGTATCTTTACAATAAAATAAAATAAAATAAAAAACAACAAATCACAAATGGTGACTTGGTGTTGAGTTCTGCAGTTTCCCAGAGTATCCATCAGTACTACCACATTCCTTCCTTTTTGGGTTGTATAGATTGATTCTCCAGGACTGAGCTAGCCTTGCATTCCTGCAGAAAGCCAGCCCTGTCGTAACACATTATCCTGCTGCATAGTTTTCTGAAATGCCCTAGGTTTGGACTTCAGTGTTTCGATGATCCCCCCCCCCCCCCGCGTTGTGGGAGGAGCTGTGTAGAACCATCATTCTTTTCATCTTTGAACATTTTCATACACTTCTCTAATGGACAACATGGACCTACTGGTTTCTTGGTTGGAGTGATTTTAAGTTGAAATCAAGAAAGAAACTACAGGGAGGAAAAGAGATGTCAGAGAAAATATTTATAAGAGACACGTGTGGTAAAGCTGCTACCCAGAATTACAAAGACCTTTTAACACTCAATGATAAGAAAACAACCTGAACCAAAAATAAACAAGGGTGGATAAACACTGCACCACAGAAGACACACAGGTGGCTGAGAGGTGCATGCAAAGATGCTCCATCACTTGATAAGTGCACATTAAAGTAACCACTTGACACAAGTACACAGCTATTCGAGTGGCCAAAATCCCAAACTGACAGCAGCAAATGTGGGCAAGAGTGTGTCACAGCAGTGGACCCACTCCTGGAGGAATGAGAAATAGTGCTGCCACCTCCCAAGACAGGCCCGTTCACCCACCCTTCCTTCCTTCCTGCCTGCCTGCCTGCCTGCCTGCCTGCCTGCCTGCTTTTCTCTCTCTTTCCCTGCCTTCCTTCATTTCTTCCTGCTTCCCTCCTTTCCTCCCTCCTCCCACCTCTCTTGTACCAGGGCAAGCATCCCAGTAGCCTATAACACCCTCGAACAAAGTAACCCCCACAGGATTGCAACACACACAAGAGCCACCATGTGAAGGTCCCACTAAAATCCACCAATTACTGAAGAGAAGAAAACATGGGGAAAGTGTCACCAATCACAGACGTGTCACCGAGCAGCTCCCACTGATGTCCAACCAGCTCAGATTTGTCACCCAGCAGTGCCCATTATATTCCACATGCTCCAGAATTAGAAAAACAAAACAAATTTAGCATACTAAACAAAAACAAGGAAGGTCCTTTAAAATAACCTAAGACACAAGCTGGGAGCCAGTGGCTCTTGCGTGTAATCCTAGCTATGCAGGAGGCTGACATCTGAGGATTATGGTTCAAAGCCAACCTGGGCAGGAAAGTTCTAGCGATTCATTACCAGTTAATCATCAGAAAACTGGAACTGGAGCTGTGGTAGAGCACTAGCCTTGAGTACAAAAGCCCGGGGACAGTGATCAGGCCCTGACACAGCTGCACTGGCCTGAGCCGCCAGCCCTGTGTGGGCTTTAATTAAGGTGCAGGTGCAGACATGCTACTTCCCCAGATGTGTGGCAGGGTCCCGGGACATTTGCTCTGTGAGGCCTGCCCAGTTCTGTTGGCACTGCCAGGACGAATGTCCCCTCTGCTGGACACCGCAGCAGGACGGGCCAGGTACCCGGCAGTGGTGGCCCAGCCTCCGCCAGCAGCACTCGCGTTGGGTCACTGCTCAGTGGCCAGGGGTGACTGTGAGTGGCGGGGTCTCACAGGGCAGCTCCCCTTGGAGTAGACGTGGCCCTGAGTCCCATCTTTGTTCCTAGAGGCCGTGGCCTGCGAGCTGACGTCCGCTCAAACCCCAACAAGGAGAGCAGGAGATGTGGTGATCTGTGAGTTTATTGATAATGTTGGCAGTCAAGGTGATGTGAGGTGGAGCAGAGGAGGGGGGAGGAAGGAGAGAACAGGGAGGAGGGAGAGGATGATCAGGTCAGCTCAGTGGACAGCTAGGGCACCTCTGCATGTCTTCATGATAGGGAAAGGCCCACTGTCCCCGGGCCGTGCCCATCAGCAGCTGCACTGGCCTGGGGAGCCGCCACAGCAGGCCTGGCGGGAGCAGGCAGGGCGGCACAGCAGGGACACGCACGAGGCCGCCGGGCGGCAGCAGCCGGGCTGGCAGCAGGGGGCACAGCAGGAGGAGGTGGGCACGCAGCAGGCGGGCCTGCACACGGGCCTGCACAGTAGGGACACGCTGGAGGACGGCGGGCAGGACGGGCAGGGGCGGCAGCAGGGCTGGCAGCTGGACGGCTGGCAGCAGCAGGAGGAACTCCCACAGCACATGGGCTCACAGCACACGGGTCTGCAGCACACAGGTGTGCAGCACACGGGTCTGCAGCACACGGGTCTGCAGCACACAGGCTCACAGCACACGGGTGTGCAGCACACGGGCTCACAGCACATGGGTCTGCAGCACACGGGTCTGCAGCACACGGGCTCACAGCACACAGGCTTACAGCACACAGGCATGCAGCAGGACGGCTGGCAGGCTGAGCAGGGGCAGCAGCAGGGCTGGCAGCTAGACGGCTGGCAGCAGGAGGGTGTGCAGCAGCTGGCGCAGACGGACTGGCAGCAGGGGCTGGACGCACAGCCCGCTGGGGAGCAGAGGAAGGTGAGGCAGGGGGCGGGGGCGCAGCCGCGGGGCTGGCAGCAGCTGGGGGCGCCGCAGGGCTCGCAGCAGCTCTCTGGGCAGTCGTCCACCTGCCAGGAGGCGTGGGTGCAGGCGTCGGAGCAGACGGACATGGTGGAGGCAGCCATGGCGGCGGGGCTGGGAGGAGCGGGAGGTGTGAGTGTGTGAGTGTGTGAGGGAAGCACTCAGAGGTCAGCATTTATACACCGCTGAGCTGTTGTGTTGTCCCCGCTGGGGCTCCGTGAGTCCTTCCTCTTCCTAGTTGTGTGTCGGCTCTTGTTTGTGTTTGTGGTTCTCTGCAGCTCCGTGGCAGCTGCTCGTTTGTGGCTGAGCTGCACCACGTCTGTGCTGGTCTGAGCCGTGGGCCAGCTCCACCCACCCCAGGGGGAAACGGGGCGGGGGGAGGGGGGAGCGGGGCGGGGTGGGGAGCAGAGCGGGGGGGGGGGGTGAGAGCGGGAGCGGGGGGGGGGGTAGTAGGGTTGGGGGGGTGAGCGGGGTCTGGGGGAATTGCGGCCGGGTGGAAGCGGGCCGGGGGTTAGCGGAGCCGAGGGAGAAGTGCGGGGGGGGGGGGGGAGCGCGGCCGGTGGCAGGAGTGGGGCCAGGGAGAAGTGCGGCCAGGGGGAAAGCAGGGCCGGGGAAATCGCGGCTGGGGGGGGGAAGCGCGGCCGGGGGGATGCGCGGCCAGGGCGGCCCCCGCTGCCCGCCGTCCCGAGTGACCCGCAGCAGGTCTGGTTGTGGAGTCCCTGTCTTCTGTCTCTTTAGTCACTGTGCCCGGTGTCTAATGTCCTTGGGGCCCTGATGATTCTCGGGGTTCACTGGCCGCTGTGCACAGAGCTGGGACCCCCCTGTAGTGATCCACGCAGTTAGGCCACAGAGGGTAAATGGGACTTCAAAGAGCCGCTGAAGACAGGCTGGCTGGCTAACCCACATCCAGGAAGAGTGGCCAACCAGCCTGACCTCACCGAAAACCCACTGATAGACCCAGCATGGTACGAATGCCCAGAGTCAAAAACAAGGGGGAGCGTGGGCCGGGCACTGACGGGGGAGGGGGAAGGTGACGGGGGGGGGGGGGGTGACAATGACAAGGGACCTGGAAGAGTGACAGCTGACATCTGTCAGACACCGCGAGCTGGAGGGCAGTTGTAGGAAATGGCCACATTCTTGTGGAAACAATTGTCCTCCAACATCACACACCAGCCACCCCATCTTTCAGAGATGAACACGAATCCTAGATCAGTGAAAACCGAAGGCATGTGTCCCAGCAGACTTGTCTTACACACCTGGAGGATTTCCAGACCGGGACCACGGGGCCTCCACGGTGTCCAGACCCACAGCAAGACAAGGACCAGCCGGTGGCCTGACTGCAAAGGAGAAGGCGCACGCTCCCCTAACTCATTAGAAAGCCACTGAATGCGAGTCTGCATGATGCCCAGAGGGGCCCGTTGCCGGGAAATAAACAACACAAGGCCTGCAGCAAAGTCACCAGAGACAGGGGAGGACCAGGAGGAAGGGAGAAGTCAGCGTGTGAAGCAGCTGTAGGAGGCGGGGTGCTTGCTGTGCTGCTTCTCTAAGTCCCCTGAAGAGTCACAGGTCTGGAGCAGCAACAACTATGACACTGCGTTCTTTGGTTTGAGCGCTTGCAGACGCAGTGTGCATAACACGAGACCACTTTCAGGGAGAGGAACATGAGCGTGGGACAGCAGTTGTATGTCTCCCTGGAGAAGTCTGGAGTTGATTCTGATGGAGCAATACCAAGGAAAAACCGAACCAACCAACCAACCAATGACAACAAAAACCAGAGTAAAACCCAGGCACTTACTGGCAATCTTAGCCATCAAGAGGCTGAGACCCAGATCACAGTTTGAAGCCATACTAGGCAGAAAAGTCCAAGAGAGTCCATCTTCAGTGCACTAGTAAAACGCCAGACTGGAGGCATGACTCAGGTAGTGTAGCCCCAGCTGAGCGGGAGCAAAGTGACCTGATATCAGACCCAGTGTTGGTGCATGCGCGTGCACACATGCATGCATGCAGGCACACGGGTGCACACGCACACACCAAGGAAAAACATGAAAGAAACCAAAATGCTTCCGATCACATGAGATGGTATCAGTGCAAAAGGCAGCAGTGCGGGACAGAGGACTGGCGACCAAAAGCACCAAAGGGAAAACGCGGTCAGCGCGCTGAGTCAGAGGCAGAGAGGATCACGGCAGGTGGCATGACCTCACAGACAGAGCCAGCCAGCGCTGACCACGGCGCTGCGGAAGCGGCCAGGCTCCCCGAGCCGGCTCAGTTCCTCCCCCATCAACACATGGCACTGCATTGTGCTGAGGACACGCAGCCACACTCGCGCCTGAACTTTAAAGACATGGCAACACGCAGCTCAGCCTCTCGCACGTGGAGCGCCAGACCACACCTTGCTACCCGCTGCCAGGCCAGGTACATAGCAAAGGCTTCCGAAAGGCACAGGATATGGGAAACCAGGAGCGGAGGAGACCAGGAGAAGATACACATTTGCAACCCGAGAGCTGAAACAAAAAGGCGCCATGTCCCCTGAGAGACCTCGGGGAGGGGGTTCTGGGGACCCCAGAGTTTCCCCTCGCCAGGCCCTTGTCCCCCTAAGTATTTATCCATTTTAGAAAATGAGTGAACATGAACATCAAAAAGCCACAGCCAAATAATGGCATTAAGCAATGAAATAAAAAAAATGGAGATTATCAGGCCAGATCCTAACAACGAGATCCAACTTGATGCTCTCTGTGGTGGGAACACTACTTAGATACAAACATGCAGAGATTCCAAGCAAAAGAGCAAGTAGGGGTGAGGGTGTGGCTCAAGTAGTACAGCACCTGTCCCATGTGTGTTCAATCCTAGTTCTGCCAAAAAGGAAAGATATGTGATCTGTGCTTTCTCTCTCTCTCTCTCTCTCTCTCTCTCTCTCTCTCCCTACCTACCTACCTATCTGATTGATTGGTTGTCTATCATCAGTCTAGCCATCAATCATCTCTCTTGTATCTGTCTGCCAACGTATCTACCTACCTATTTGTCTATAATCTTTTTTTTGGGGGGGTCCGGTTATGGGGCCTGAACTCTGGGCCTGGGCGCTGTCCCTCAGCTGTTCAGCTCAAGGCTAGCGCTCTACCTCTTGAGCCACAGCACCACTTCCGGCTTTTTTCTTTTTGCTTATGTGGTGCTGAGGAATCGAGCCCAAGGCCTCAGGCATGCAAGGCAAGCGCTCTACCACGGAGCCACCTTCCCAGCCCCCATTTGTCTATAATCTACCTTCATAAGCCCTCCCGGCCTCCAGTGGGTGACAGTAGCACCAGTGGGTGTGAGGGGGAGGGGATTCTAGGTGTTGGCTGGTGACACGGTGCACCGCAGAATGGGTCTACAGAGTTGGGGTTTCGTGTGTGACTTCCTGCCAGGCTTGTTGGGATCAAAGCTGAGGTAACGCTCCTGAGTCAGGTGACGATGGTTTATAATCTGCTGTAGTCACGGATTGCCCTGCAGTGCCAGCTGGGGCCTCCCTGCCCGGCAGAGCCGTCCCTGCTGTGCCCAGAGACTGGCGGAGACCTCACCAGGCCGCATGGGCCTCGGTGGGCACACCGGCCTTGGGAGTAGCAGAACGGAAAGTCAGGCTCTTGGGAAGAAAGAAACAACGGCACTGACCTTGGGTGGAAGGCTGGGTGCTTTCAAGGTCACCACGATGGAGAACTCCTCGGGGAAGCGCTGGCACCTGTAGAAAATCCTGGAGGCGGGGAAGCTGAGGGCGCGGGGGTCGGCGGCCGCCAGCCGGAGGCCTCGCGCGCCGGGGGTCTGCACCAGCCGCACTCCAACCACAGCGCTCACTGCGGGGACAGCCTCCGCCAGGATGTCCAGGGGACCCAGGTCTGCGGCAGAGACGGCAGAGGCAGCAGTCAGAGCCCGCACGCGCGTGCCAGGCCCGGGGCCACACGCGGAGCCGGGCGGGTGCCTGCTGAGGAGGGCTCTGCCTGGCACAGAGACCGCCAGGGCCCGCGGCGGACCCCCGAGCACGGGCCCAGCTCTGCGCTTCCCTCAGACCGGCCCGCGGCCACGGCCCCGCGGCAGACCCCCGAGCACGGCCCCGCCGCCACGGCCCCGCGGCAGACCCCCGAGCACGGGCCCAGCTCTGCGCTCCGTCCCCTCAGACCGGCCCGCCGCCACGGCCCCGCGGCCACGACCCCGCCTCCACGGCCCCGCGGCAGACCCCCGAGCACGGCCCCGCGGCCACGGCCTGCGGCAGACCCCCGAGCACGGCCCCGCGGCCACGGCCCCGCGGCGGACCCCCGAGCACGGGGCCCAGCTCTGCGCTTCCCTCAGACCGGCCCGCCGCCACGGCCCGCGGCAGACCCCCGAGCACGGGCCCAGCTCTGCGCTCCGTCCCCTCAGACCGGCCCGCCGTGGCAGTGAGCCCCGCCACCGGAGTGCCCTCGGCCTGCTGAACTGCGCGGGCTCCAATCACACCCTGCCCGCTGCTGCAGTCCCGGCTGGCTCTGAGGACTCACTAATCTCCTGTCTGTCTGTCTGTCGGTCTGTCTGTGTCTGTCTGCCTGCCTGCCTGCCTGTCTGTCGTTACTGACTCCGGAACCTTGTATCCTTGTAATAGCCCTGCAAGCTGTGCATCTCCTCCTCCCGCAGACCCCGCACGCCCCCGAGGAGCGGCCGTCTCTGAACCTCAGGCCCATTTCCCTGTCCCGCGTCTCTCGAGGCGGCCATTCCCCGTGGTGAGAGCCGCTGAGCGGCGGGACGGGGCGGCGGGAGAGCGGTGCCGGGGGACGGGGCGGTTCTGTCCACGCTGACCTTCCCTCCACGCTGCTGCTGGACGGGGCGCTGGGCAGGCCCGGCTGGCTCCCTCCACACCCCGGGTGGTTCTGTGGTTCCAGGTCGTTAGAAACGAAGGTGCGGAGTGCGGGGCCCACGGTGGGGAGGGGCCGGGGCGCCCGTGTGCGGGGCCCGGGGAGGGCCAGGAGCGGGGCCAGGGCTGGGAGGGGCTGGGGCGGGGCCAGGGCTGGGAGGGGCTGGGGCGGGGCCAGGGCTGGGAGGGGCTGGGGCGGGGCCAGGGCTGGGAGGGCCAGGAGCGGGGCCAGGGCTGGGAGGGCCGGGGGCGGGGCCAGGGCTGGGAGGGGCTGGGGCGGGGCCAGGGCTGGGAGGGGCTGGGGCGGGGCCAGGGCTGGGAGGGGCTGGGGCGGGGCCAGGGCTGGGAGGGGCTGGGGCGGGGCCGGGGCTGGGAGGGGCTGGGGCGGGGCCAGGGCTGGGAGGGGCTGGGGCGGGGCCAGGGCTGGGAGGGGCTGGGGCGGGGCCGGGGCTGGGAGGGGCTGGGGCGGGGCCAGGGCTGGGAGGGCCAGGAGCGGGGCCAGGGCTGGGAGGGGCTGGGGCGGGGCCAGGGCTGGGAGGGGCTGGGGCGGGGCCAGGGCCGATGCTGGACCTTTCTGACTTGGCTGCCACAAGGGTCCAGGGCAGGGGGACAGCAGAGTCTCACCCGCCCCCCCCCCCCCCCCCCCCCCCCCGCTGCCTTGCTGGGGACTGGGGGTTCGGCCCAGGGCTCCCCCCGGCCGTGGCCCAGGCGCTGGGCTCGGTCCTCACGCGGCCTGGACACCCGCTGGAGACGGCTGAGCTGCCCGCGGGCGGCCCTCGGAGCCCCAGTCCCAAAGCTATCCATGTCTGCTGCCTAGGAGCGGCCACCACACAAGGGCGCCCGGTCTCCACGGACCCCAGGGCCGGCCTGAGGAGCCCGGGGGGAGCCCACGCCCCAGATGCCAAGAGGCTCCCGCCCGGCACTGAACTCTCTCCCCAGGGGCTCCGTGCGCCCCGCTCAGCAGACCCGGCCGGGCCTGGCGGTCACTCCCCGGCAGCCGAGCGGCCGGCCTCCAGCTGCCCTCTTCTGAAGCAGCTTCCTGTGCCCAGCAGGAGAGGACGCGCAGGCCAAGAGGCCACATGCACACACACTGCAGGTCACAGAGGGGTCAGCACCTGAACCCCGACAGCACCTCCCACACCACACCCCAGACCAGAACCCCGACAGCACCTCCCACACCCCAGACCAGACCAGAACCCCGACAGCACCTCCCACACCCCAGACCAGACCAGAACCCCGACAGCACCTCCCACACCACACCCCAGACCAGAACCCCGACAGCACCTCCCACACCCCAGACCAGAACCCCGACAGCACCAACCACACCACACCCCAGACCAGAACCCCGACAGCACCTCCAACACCCCAGACCAGACCAGAACCCCGACAGCACCTCCCACACCACACCACAGACCAGAACCCCGACAGCACTTCCCACACCCCAGACCAGACCAGAACCCCGACAGCACCTCCCACACCACACCCCAGACCAGAACCCCGACAGCACCTCCCACACCACACCCCAGACCAGAACCCCGACAGCACCTCCCACACCCCAGACCAGACCAGAACCCCGACAGCACTTCCCACACCACACCACAGACCAGAACCCCGACAGCACCTCCCACACCCCAGACCAGACCAGAACCCCAACAGCACCTCCCACACCCCAGACCAGAACCCCGACAGCACCTCCCACACCCCAGACCAGAACCCCGACAGCACCTCCCACACCACACCCCAGACCAGAACCCCGACAGCAGCTCCCACACCACACCCCAGACCAGAACCCCGACAGCACCTCCCACACCACACCCCAGACCAGAACCCCGACAGCACCTCCCACACCACACCCCAGACCAGAACCCCGACAGCACCTCCCACACCCCAGACCAGAACCCTGACAGCACCTCCCATACCACACCACAGACAAGACCAGAACTCCGACAGCAGCTCCCATACCACACCCCAGACCAGAACCCCGACAGCAGCTCCCACACCCCAGACCAGACCAGAACCCCGACAGCACCTCCCACACCCCAGACCAGAACCCCGACAGCACCTCCCACACCCCAGACCAGAACCCCGACAGCACCTCCCACACCACACCACAGACCAGAACCCCGACAGCAGCTCCCACATCATGCCCGGCACCCAGGATAGAGTGGCCCACCCTGACTCCAAAGCACGCCACATAGAAAAGCCCCCATGAACTCCCTCTACCTTCCCTTCTCTGAGATTAAAGATGGAATCCCGTGCCCTGGGTCAGCTGAGCAACAATGCAGGAAACCAAACACAGCTGTTGACTACACTCCAGGAAGAGCAAACACCAACAGGAAGGGAGTTGTGGGAACCTCACAGCCAGGCAGAGTATAAAAGCTGACAGTGCCTCACACACTCACTCACACTCACACTCACTCACACACTCACACCTCCCGCTCCTCCCAGCCCCGCCGCCATGGCCGCCTCCACCATGTCCGTCTGCTCCAGTGACCTGAGCTATGACAGCCGGGTCTGCCTGCCCGGCTCCTGCGATTCCTGCACCGACGCCTCCTGGCAGGTGGACGACTGCCCAGAGAGCTGCTGCGAGCCCTGCGGCGCCCCCAGTTGCTGCCAGCCCCGCGGCTGCGCCCCCGCCCCCTGCCTCACCTTCCTCTGCTCCCCAGCGGGCTGTGCGTCCAGCCCCTGCTGCCAGTCCGTCTGCGCCAGCTGCTGCACACCCTCCTGCTGCCAGCCGTCTAGCTGCCAGCCCTGCTGCTGCCCCTGCTCAGCCTGCCAGCCGTCCTGCTGCATGTCTGTCTGCTGTAAGCCCGTGTGCTGCACACCCATGTACTGCAGACCCATGTGCTGCAGACCCGTGTGCTGCAGACCCGTGTGCTGTGAGCCCGTGTGCTGCGGGGCTTCCTCCTGCTGCTGCCAGCCGTCCAGCTGCCAGCCGTCCAGCTGCCAGCCCTGCTGCTTCCCCTACCCGCCGTCCTCCAGCGTGTCCCTGCTGTGCAGGCCCGTGTGCAGGCCCGCCTGCTGCGTGCCCACCTCCTCCTGCTGTGCCCCCTGCTGCCAGCCCGGCTGCTGCCGCCCGGCGGCCTCGTGCGTGTCCCTGCTGTGCCGCCCTGCCTGCTCCCGCCAGGCCTGCTGTGGCGGCTCCCCAGGCCAGTGCAGCTGCTGATGGGCACGGCCCGGGGCCAGCGGGCTGGCCTGCTGAATTGCCCCAGCCCTGGGACAGGCTGCTGGCATCTGGTGGCTTCTCTGCGGCTGTGCTGGGAGTCGTGGGGACCTGGCAGCCGGTGCGTGCTGCCCTCCCCACCCCGTCTCCCTCCCCCTGCTGTGGGTCAGCACCGGCTCTGCCCTGGCCGGCCCTGGTCTTGACGTGCTTAAGTCTGTAATAAAGGCCTGAGTCTCTCACCCTTGCCTCTGGTCATCATCTGTGTCCTCCCGCTGGGTCCTCTGCCTGGGGAGAGCTGTGCCTCTGGGGGGGGGGGAGCTCCAGGGCGGGGGGTCCCAAAGGGGGGTTTTTCCAAGTCTGTGGCCCTGGCAGGCCTCCCCCCCCCGCCTGGGAGCTGCCACCGAGGGCTCCCTGTGACCCCGGGGACGTGGGGACCGGAGTGCAGTGGGGGCCAGGCCGCTGGCCCACGCAGCCTCCCTTGGCGTCTCTGAGCCCTGCTAGGACGGGGGTTAGGAGGCTGGTGGTTGGGAGGTCTGTGTGTGGAGGCTGAGGGCAGGTCATGATGCGGGACTGCGTGGATGGACGCCGCCCGCTGTCCATGGGGATGCTGGGAGCTCAGAGCCAGGGCAGGTTGGGTGTGGACGTGGGCTCGGGGGCACCACGCAGTCCCGTAGCTGCCAGCGTAGCAGACGCGGGGGAGGGGCCCCGAGCGCTCGCCCTGGTGGCGATGCTCAGCACACACGTGTGCACACGGTGCTGTCAGCCGCCGGCCAAGGCAGTGCCGCACATGGTGCGCCAGAGCTAATGACAGTGCCAGGGCCAACAACATGGGAGGTGGAGAAAAGGAGGATCGCAGCTCAAGGTCAGCTCCATCTTCAGAGACGGAGCCTGGACGCAGAGGTGCACAGTTGTTGCCCCCAAAACTACAGGAAGCCTGGAGGCAAACTGCAGCCCAGGCCCAGGCCTGCACGGGAAGCAAGATCCTTGTCCTAAAATGAACCCACAAGAAAGAGGGCTGAGGGCGCAGCTCAGTGGAATAGCAGCTTGAGGCCTTGAGTTCAAACCCCAGTACCGCCAGAAGACTGGGAAGAAAAAAGAGGAGGAGCAGAAGAGTCTACGACCAGCTTTCTTTAGAAGGGACTGGAGGCCGAGGCCACGCCCAGCGGGGGGCTTGGCATGTTGACCAAAGCCAGCCCTGTCATCAGGAAGGAATTCTCTGGCAGGAGAGACCCTGTGGCGCCGCCCGCCTTTCCCGCCGCTGACTTGGCTGCAGACTGTTTCCTAAGACATCTTTTTGAGGTTGTTGCTGCCGGTCGTGGGGCTTGAACTCTGGGCCTGGGCGCTGTCCCTCAGCTCTTCAGCTCAAGGCGAGCGCTCTACCACTTGAGCCACAGTGCCGCTTCCAGTTTTCTAGTGGTTCATTGGAGATAAGAGTCTCATGGACTTTCCTGCCAGGGCTAGCTTTGAACCGCGATCCTCAGATCTCAGCCTGCTGAGTAGGATTACAAGCATGAGCCACCGGTGCCTGGCCATGAAACCTTTTCTGAAGCCAGACAGAACCTTTGTTGGAGTTGAATTAGCCGCAGAGCAGGGCATAAGCCGGGAGAGCCGAGGAGCCCCGCCTGGTGCCACGGGAATGGCAGGGCCCAGGCGCAGGTCTTCGGTCACATGCAGGTCAGGGCCTGGAAGGGGAGCTGG